AATTTATCAATAGTATATAGATGCAGATTGATAGGAAGTAACCTAAATTGAAAAACAACATTTTGAAACAATAGCTACAGAAATAGAAGTGTTTATTTCTCAAATCTGCAACTCGCCTACGTTGTGGTCAGAAAACAACCTCAAGATTTAACCCCCGGAAAAATCAACAACTAATCAGAACAACCTACTGTCAGTAGACAACTTCACGTCCCAAAAGTTTGACCTTCAGAAAACTAACAACCAATCAGAATAGTTTATTATCCGTTGATCTAGTCGACCATAAATATAGCTAAAAACGTATAAATACGGTGAGTCTCACTAACAAAAAGGTCCCTTACCAAGTCTTATCCGGTTACAGATTCATAGTCGCGGACACTGACGAAAGCTATGGCCTTTTTGACCTTCCCTCATTAAAATCACTGTGTGCATTTATACTAAACGAAATCCTTAAACTTTGGAGGGAAATAAAAATAATAACTAAGCAGATTGTGGGGAGTGGAAAGCGAAAAGGACATGAAATGAGAGTTGGTCAACTTACACTTGCTGTTCTTGATAGACTTGTTGGTCGATTAGATGCAGCCAACGATCGCATTGAATTATGTCTGCCAATGCTACTACCTACTGGTTTGTCTGTAAGCATATTATTGCCAGAATCCATTCCAGCATTTAATGATGGCGGCTTCAATCCATCCATATCTCTATTCGGAGTTCTATTCATTGTTCCAGTTGTTTTATTGTTAGCATCATCGATACCACGGCGAATATTGTTCATACTGTTGTTATTCAATGGACTAAGGAATACAGAATCATTTATATTACTAGTGTTTGTCTGTCTACATAACACACCAGACTTTTCTCCATCTATTACTTGCTGTCGATGAACAAAAAGAAAGCAATAAATAATTAGAATTGCCAATCATCCCATTAGTGTAAAGCAACATGAGATGGTGGTAAATGGCTTGCAGTAGGAACTAAAATGCACCTTTCGTCTGATTCGGAGCTCATCAGCAGGATAATGTGACTGTATTCGCAGTGAATCATAACACTTTCCCCTCTCTCCCCCGCTGAGACTCGAACTTAGCATCCAACGTTTCAAGCACTACACATAGTTTTTCATTAGGCCACTGTATGGGGAGGGGCAGCAGTTATTAGCTGTTATTTGTTGTTTAACTTAGTTGTTGCATTTCCCGTGTTGATTGGTGACACTGGATCAGAGTGCTGAGTCTCTGTTGACATGTCGGCTTCTAGAGCAAAGTGATAGCAAACTCTGGTTCACCGTGTTAATCTTCAGATTCTGTTGGAGCGTCCATCGATAGTCATTGAGGATTTCAGTCTCATATAATCAATCAGTGGTCATGCCTCGGTGGTTCAGCAATACAATGCTTGCCAATCATTCCCACATGGTCCGGGCTTCGATTCCCAGACAGCCCACACATTTACCCCACCCTCGAACCCGGCTGTAAGCCCGACAAGGAGGGAAGGTTGAGAGGGCAAGGTTGACCAGCAACCCCAACCCGTTAAAAACACCACTGCTACTGAGACTTCAAAGCTCCAGAAGCCTGAAGTTCTATGTTCCCCCATCGGAACGTAAAGGAATACAATAAATCAAAAATATATAATCAATAAATAATGGGGAATACAAATAATAACATCAGACACATTGATAAAATTTGGTATTGTAAGTCTTTTACAAAAAGTTATAAAAAGAGAAATACTCCAAACTGCTGTTCACAGTTTGTCATATTCATCAACCACCGTCTATTAAGCATCAGAAAAGTTCGTTACCTCTAAAAATTTCAACATGCAACAAAAAAAACTAAAAACCTATGCCAGTTTCAACGCAAGTGGTATAAAACAGTCGAAGTCGCCAGGACCTGTGGCATTCGGTTGCACAAGTAGATCACCTTTTATGGAAAAAGATTTAAATATAGAATCCTTCGAAGTGAGGACAGGAGTAAAACAAGGCTGCCTACTATCGCCAATGATTTTCCTGATTGCAGTAGATTGGATAATGCGACAAACAGCGGGCAATGAGGAAACAGGCATAAAATGGACTCACACAAAAGAAAAACTTGAAGGATCTGGACTTCACCGATGATATATGTCTGATTTCCCACAAACTGGAAGATATGCAAGTGAAAAGCAACAAATTGGCAGAAAAAGAATCCAGAGAAGATAGAACTTCAGGTGAACATAGAGAAAACAGAGGTAATGAAGATTCCTGGACAAGAACAACAACAACAGACAACGATCAGCATAAATGGGAGGAACCTGAAAGAAACAACCTCTTTTACCTACCTAACTAGGAAGCATCATCTCAACTACAGGCGGAACTGGCGAGGATATCAAAGCAAGGATCGGGAAAGCAAGAAAAGCTTACACTACTCTCAAGTCTGTGTGGAGGTCAACAGCACTCAGCATCAAAAATAAGATCCGGATTTTCAACTCCAATGTGAAGTCAGTGCTACTTACCATATGGATCAGAGACTTGCACTGCGCGTCATAAAGAGCATCTCAAACAAACTACAGACCTTCATTAACAGTTGTCTTCGCTCAATACTCAAGATCAGATGGCCGGCCAGAGAAGATCAGCAACAGGGATCTCTGGGAGCGAACCAACCAAGAACCGATTGTGAAACAAATAAGCAGGAAGAAATGGAGATGGATTGGTCATACTCTGAGGAAACCATCAGGTGACATCACTAGACAGGCCATCGCTCCAGTGGAACCCGAAAGGGAAGCGGCGATTTGGTCGTCGAAGGGTGACTTGGAGGTCATGTGAAGAGGAGATGAAAGTGTGTGGGCAGACATGGAGCCAGGTGAAGGCTCTAGCAGAGAACCGAACGCAACGGAGACGCACGGCTGAAGCCCTATGTTCCTCTAGGAATTAAAGGAAATAATAATAATAATTACTGGGTTGACTACAGCGTATACAATAATGTTAATAGAACTATAGCAGAAAAACGTAGTTCAGTGATATCTCAAAATATCAGCTAGTAATAGGTAGAGATTACACCTTATTCGATGATAATGGCCGTGTTCAGCATAGCTTAGCGAATGTAACGTCTCCAATTGCAGCACTGCACTGGGTAGTGAACCGGCAGCAAATACCTGAAGTAAGGTTGCGAATATACCTCACTGAGGAGTATGAGTAAGTACGAAAGGCACGTCTAAGAGAATTCCTTTTAGCTACCCTCCAACCAACCATCCAGCATCTTTAATTCGTTATCTTCTAGACTTACTAAGTATGCACATGTATCATCAAATCACGTATCACAGAGCCGAAAAACAGACGTTAATTGCACTATCCAGTTAGCCATTACACTACATATAGTGAAATAGTCACTGTGAATTGTTGATATTAGATGGTTGGAGGCGGCAATCGGAAGGAAGCCCTACCTGACCTAGGTTTCGTGCTTATTGGCACTCACCAGTCACAGCAAGGTGTACCTGTAATCTTGAAGTAAGTCATATCCCTTGTGAGATTCGAACCCGCGTCACCCGGTGTGCTGCAATCAAAGACGTTACCACTGAGGTATTCCGATTCGTGACCGACCAATACAGTTCTACAGGAGGTAAGTCGCGAGCCCGGATACCTCAATGATAAAGTCTCTGACTACAGCACACTGGGTGATGTTTGTTCAAATCTCACAAGGGATATGACTTACTTCAAGATTACAGGTACACCTTGCTGTGGCTGGTGAGTGCCAATAAGCACGAAAACTAAGTCAGGTTTAACGAAACCCCACTTCCCCTACTAACAGCTTTTAGTGCCCTACGCAGCAAAGCAAAGTCTTTCTTAAGTAATCCAGGAAAGATTAATGGGGAGCAGTAAAGAGGGATCGTTAGAATACAAGAGTTGACAAACTGAGAAAGCAAAGACTGCTTTATACCAGACTGCCTTAACTTCCTAACGTAGAACGTCAAGCGAAACATCTTTCTAGTAACTAGCAAGATGTGAGAGGACCAGGAAAGATCGGAGGAAATCCTCAGTCCAAGGTATTTGACATTAGAGGTAGTTTCAATCTCTATGCCATCAATGATAGTGGGACCATGTGAGCTAGCTAGTTGTTGTAGGTCACGTTTTCGTCTGAAAGTGAAATTTACTACCTGATATTTAGACGGATTCAGCTTAGGACCGTTTGAAGAGGACCACTGACTAATTTCCGAGAGAAAGTATGTACGGACTGGGGTTCGATCCCAGGGCCTTCCGGTTACAAGGCAAGCTCGTATTCCATTCAGCCACTGGCCCATGAATTCTAACTTCTACCAATTCGTGTTTTTAGCGCGACCATCAACTAATTTCATCGGCGGGAAATCCATCCTCATTCTTGTTATTATTTCAGCAGCAACTTGCTACAATATGGGCAACACGACATGGGCCACACAAAACAAAAACAATAAGACACAGTATAAGGAAGAGAAATGGAGTAGCTGGGGAACAGAATTATGCAAACTCGCAAGCATACTTATTCAGGGGACTTATCACCACATGCTACTCTCAGATTACGATTCTCAGCCATATTTGATAACAACTCAAGTCAGTGATTTGGACTGTCATTCGGGGTAGCGGTGCAACAAGAGATGCTAAACTAATGACAACTATTCTCTATCCCATGACAACACGTCATGGATTGAACACCACCTGTCCGCTCCTAACCGACCGTTTAGTTAGAGTTAATTAATTAGAAATATGAAGGAGTCACATCGCTTGCAGGAAACTTTCGTCATTATTGAGTGTAGAAATGCTACAACTAATTCCCATTCCATAGTAGTTTAAGTAACGAATGAACGGTAGTTAGGTAAGTGGGTAAAGTGAGACAAAAAAAAAGTGTGAACTACATTTACACTAGAAATTAAAGATATTTCATAATATCCTGTTACATTAACAACGATTTATTTACAGTTTTCCGCAAACCGTGTAAATAAAAGATTGTAGAGCACCAACATTAAGAATAAATCAGAGCAAACAATAATGGTCTGCTTAAATAACTAGGCTACCCGATTTTCTTTCCATCAGAATTTCTCTCATTTACTCTATTTTATTTTATTTTAATTACCCAATTACATCTCTGAGTTGCAGTTTATACTCAAGCCCGTTTTCTACTTAGCAAGAGACCTAGGAACAGAGTCAAATACAGATGTGTAATCAAGGGAGGCACACCGAACATATTTGGCTCCTCTATCTAAACTAGAGACTATATTATGATGTAGAACAACAGCGGCATCTAAGGTACTCCTACTATGTTTATAGGCAAACTGGTTGGGGTCATTAAAAGGCTTTAAAGAGGGTTCAAGATTAAGTAAAATAAGTCTTTCCATAACTTTTAAAAAAGGTGAGGTAATAGCAATCGGTCGAAACTTAACAGTAGGTCCACTTGTTGATTTAGGTACTGGAACAACCTTGATATTTTTCCATGAGTCCGGAATAATACTTTGGGAAAAGGATTCATTGAAAATGTCGGTTAATGGGTAACATAAGATGTCAGCACACTTCTTAAGGATAACAGCAGGAACTCCATCAGGACCAAGGGACTGGGTAGGTTTGAGAGATTGAAGACAATTAAGGACATCGTTCGTGTTAAAACACGAGAAGCAGTCATTATTTATACTATTAGATTTGGGAATCATAACATCTGCAGGGATACATATGAAGGATTTATTAAGCATATCAACATCATCATGTGTATACATACCAGATCATTTCTTTCTTCTTTAATTTTCTCAAGCGTTTCTTCCAGTTCTAAATTACGTTGTGTCAACTGACTGACCATTGTATCAATGCCGAGGTAAGCATCCACTTGTTCTTTTAATTCAATAATTTGTTCAACACTATCCTTTAAATTTTTTGTTAATCGTTCTTTTTCTGTTTGAAGTTGACTAACTTCTGATTCTAAAGATGTAATCTTTAAAATACAAATAAACAAAATTAATTATTCAGTTTAAAGTTTGGTATTTCAAATTCTCATAAAAAGTAGGTAAATACAATGTGATAGTGTAGATTTCGTCGTGAACCAACATCAGTTAGGGAAATATTCAAAATCAAGGAGCTCCAGACAACTGTTTCGTACTTGATTAGAACTCTTCAGCAATACGCACTCACGTCCCCAACGGAGGTCGAATTCAGGACCTTCATGTCACAAGGCTGATTCCGATGACTATTTAGCATGCTGCTGAAGAACCACAAGTTGGGACAAAACCACTGTCTAGTGTTCTATGGTTTTTGATAATTTTTTTAACTGATATTGGATTGCAGTAAAATTAATCCAAATCCCTACAACGAAATTCCCACAATCTCAATACGATATCAGACGTCAGTGACTGTGATTCAATATTACAAAATAGCATAGAAGTGAGCTGAATTAGTATAAATGAATATACAGATAAAGCTGACTAACTTACTGATCTCAACATAGAACTTTGCACACATATGGGGCAGTTCCAGTTGAATTAAATAATTAATATGACCCATTGCACAAGAGGTGGCCCTCTTGGCCCAAGTGGTCTAGTGGATAACGCTTTGGCGTTTGAAGCTATGGGCACTGCGTCCGAGCCTCAGTGGGGACATCATCACTCACTGCGGAATACAGCTAGATCCAATTGACGAGTCCCAAATAGGCCGAAATGCGCATCCTGGATTCTATTGCTAGTCACCATCCACCAATTAACTTCTATTTTCTGACTGTATAGTTCATTGTGATGGTGAAAACCTTACTACTACCATTAGTCGTCTAGTTTAAAGAAAGCAATAAGAGTGAACTGATCTAACTGGCCGTTACAGATATAATAGACAATAACAATAAATCAGCGATAAATGGCGGTTAAATGCACCAAGTACAACCAAAGAATCTCAGCTGATCTAACCTTCTCGAAATACCTTACTAATAGACACATTTTCATAGAGTTTACACGGGTGTCCTACTAACAGCATTATTATGTGGAAGAAATTTTGCCACAAAAATGAAGGCTTGGTGAATATGGGGTACCATGTGACGAGTTTAAAACGCCTTGATTCCATACAGAATGTGTACAGGTAAAAATAGCTTACAGATTTGACTTAGTTACCAAAATTAAGATAAAATGCATCATGACATTGCTTTGCTTATTTTCGAATTGGACTTTAGGTCACAGATTTGGACTGTCCCCATAACATTTCGAGCTTCACAAAAATCGTAAGACAACAGAGGTAAATAACTCTTATCACATCATTCATCACTTCCATTTGCTCGACCATTCACTTTTAGGCTTTATTTTCCCACTCAGACAAACTGTTATCTCAGACTTAACTGTAAACTTTGATATTGTCTATGAGTGAGTTGATGTTAAAAGAAGAGTTGGAAGAATAAACGAAATTCAAAACACAGTTGAAGCCAATATGTGAAGAATTCACAATACTCAGCTATACAGCTCCATTAATATTTATAACTTTTGGTAGCCTGTTTAGTGTTCTTAAAAGTAGACTTGATTGGTGTACAGAATATTAATAAGTTTAGAAATATTGAATTGGTAAGTTGAGTGCATTCACTACTTATCTCATAAGTTAGAAAAACCTTTACTATGATAACAGTGACTAGCAGAGGAATGTAGGATGAGCACTTCGTCCTATTTGAGATTCATCATCTGGACGTACGTATGCTGGTGTTCCACTCAGACTAGAACCCTGCACCCGATGCGCTTTGATAAGAAGCTTGTGCTGAAGATGTTGTTCGGAAGGAACATGAAAGTTTCGCAGTTTTAAAATCAGCCAGCTCAAAGAACGCAAGAACATCAAAATTACAACTTTACCTTCATCGAGTTTCTTTCTTTGCTCACTGCATCATACATAAAAATTATTAAGCAGGAATTTACCTGTTTAGTTAAAGCTGAAATTTCCGATTTATCTTGATTAACCAAATCACGTAGCTTGACCAGTGCTCCTTTCATTCGTTCATTTTGTTGTTCAAGATTTTTAAACTGTAAGAGAGTTGAACCGCCTTCAACACCGACTGATACTTCACCGGGTATTTTCCACAAGAAAGAGAAAGAGAGATAACAACGTAGAATGCAATAAGTAACTAGGAACGCAATGTCTAGTAATTTATCTCCTTAAGTAAGAGAAAAATGTTGGCGAATTTCTAGACAAGAAAACGCAGTTGCCCTTGATGTAGGAACAGAGTATAATTCCATATCATGGGATCATTTCATTCGATAAAATAACTCGACGTAGGATTCATAACAAGGCAGGAATTAGGGTGGAATTTAAACCTACAAAGTAACTCAGAGATTAAGGGACCCTATTAGACAAAACTATTTAATCAATATAATGACCTGCAGTGACTGTGAGATCAACTACAACTATAAGACCAGTTGTTTGGTCAGATTATTGGAGCATACGAATTTGGCTTAGTGTGAAATGATGGACTTCACAAAAATGAAAATCACACAATACAATGGGGAGAGAGCTACAGTTCTAAAAAGTAATATAAATAGGTGGAGAGAGAAATCGAGCATTGAATTTTTCTTCATTTAATCTATAGGTAACACATGAGTAGGAATAACGTAACGCTGGTATACTGGAGATATGGATAAGAAATAATAGAATTACATAAACGAAGTTTAAAAGTTATGTGAGTGCCTTGATATAGTTGTAAGCAATAAATTGTTGTCGAAACGTCATCAGTAAAAAATGTTGCATCACTGTTTTTCTCCTCAAATAAAATTATTCTATAAAGGGACAGGGTGACCTTTTATATTTTTACATATTCTTCTTTACCAATCGGTAAATCTTTATCCTCAGAATTGAAAAATGAGTTTTGAGTAATGTCACGCACTGACAGTATTAGCTTATTTACGTGATTCCCTGCTGATAAATCTGACACGAATTGATCAGCTTCAGTTTGGTATACGGCTACAATTAACGACGGTGAGTAGACTTCAGTCTTCCTCTAGAAGTCGTCTCATGTGCTTACGCGTTTATAGCCTTTGATTACGTAATTCCTGTTTACTACCTTTAAGCTGCCTGGTTGAAAGGGCGAATCCGGACATCTGGCGCTAACAACTGGACTGATGAACTCATTCAGTAGATGCCTAAATACTACCTTGAAGTATATAAAATGACTTCTCAAAATACATGAACAACAAATATGGAGATAGTTACCACAATAGCTCCTGAAAAGTAATGAGCACAATGTCAGTTGACAGTTCTGCGATTAGAGTAAAGCCGATAACACTGAAGAAAAAAAGTGAAATGTTTATCGAAGTTATAAATGACTGATAATAAAATACGATGAAATTGTTTTCACGATATGCCTGTGTCTCTACCTTAGTTGATTGACTTGTTTCGCAACCTGTGAGCTAACGTGGTTAATAGCATCTTATAGAAAGTTCAGATGGGAGGCATGAGCATCTCAGCTATGACATTAATTTCCATACAACAGACAGTTTTCTGTTTAGTATCACCATCTATAAATGGGTAATGAATTGAGTGTAGCAAAACTTCTTATTCCTTTATCAGGCAATACAAATGAAGTAAGCATACAAATCACTTCAGCTGACAAATAATGTTATTGATGTAAATAACACTATGTGCTCCCTTGGGGTTAAAATGCTACATTACATTACTTTTATACATATTAGTGATAAGATTCAAAACGAAGTAGATAAATGACGAACAGGCAGAAAATAAAACCTTCAATACCTTTAACTGTCTCAGGAGTTTTCAATCCTACAGACAACGAAGATGTCGAACCAGCAAGTTTTGTAACTTCCTTTGATTCTGAAGTGGCACCTGATTCGGAAACAACGCTAGATGTGGATAACTTCATTACGTCTGATCTTTCCGGACCATCTAGAAGAGTAAGCTGGATAACAAAGGAGGAATAAATAAATTAGATTTTTTAATTGCAAGATGCATTCACGATCGATATTTTTGGACACAACCTGAATAAAGTACAACAAAATATATACTACTGTTGCGAATGAAATCTAATTAATACTTTTTAGGGGACCAGTACATTGGACTAAAATATTTACCTGCCGAACAAAGAGATAAAACAAAGGACGCTGGATTCAAATTTAACAATAAATATTAGTTAATTTACTTTGTTACAAACTCCAGACTCATATCTGTCATGTTATTTGGTGTATAGGGACTATCAATGGAATCCCGGAAGTACGTTCCCTCTCGTTTAGGACTCGTCATCTAGAGGTAACTGCAATCTCCAGTGTGTGTGATGGTATTTCTGCTGACCCGACCGAAAGCTGCTACCTTGACGTGGTGGTCGGGCTTGAACACTGCAATGACCCAACAAGCTATACTGGCTGGAACTTATGTTCCTGCAGGTCCTACCATGCCAGAAAGGTTGTTTGGATAGCAGTTAGACTAAAAGCAGTTACCCAATCCAATCCTATGATTTCAAATAAATCACAAAATATCATGCCGGATCGGTCGGGGCCCGGATTAACAACGACCGCGCTTTCTGCTGCCGTGTCACAGGGCAGAAGTGATAAATACGCTACTGAGACACACCAAATAAAAAAGAACAAACAAAAACAGGCCGTGTGTGACCGGCCTCAAGCAGTTGTCCCCTGGGCTCTGCGGTCACGCAACCAACTTCCACGGTGTGGGCAGCCGGGAAGTACCAATCGCCCTCACAATCCGAAGTGCACGCGAAACCCCTCTAATCCTCGCTCATCTTTGTCTTCATCTTCATCTCTATTATCTTGCCTTCCTTCTACCAATGCAACTCCTCTACTTGTTGGCTCTTCACTTCCCCTTCACTCTGTGTGCACTGATAACGAGGGAAGCCAAAAAGCCACCACCGATTGTCTCCTAAAACCACGCCACCAATTTTATATAGGAGCATTTAATGTTAGGACACTTTACCAAATAGGAAAACAAGCATCACTAGCCAAGACTCTGGCATCCCGAGCCATTGATGTATGTTGTGTTTCAGAAACACGCATACAGGACCCAAGTGTGGTTATTCACCTAACCCCACCTGGCCAACAGGATGAATCTGCAAAATTCACCTTGAGGGTGTCAGGAGATGCGACGGCTAGCTCACGAGGATTAGCTGGTGTTGGGATAGCTTTAAGTACTAGAGCAGAAAAGACATTACTTGACTGGATCCCGGTAGATAGCCGAATGTGCGCTGTCCGCCTGAACGGATCAGTGAAAAGGAGAAAGGACTGCACTACTCGCCATCACGGTGGCGAGCTACCTAGAATGGTGGCCACATTACAACCTGACTGATAAAATTCAGTCTTCACCAAAGAGAGGACTAGACGCATAACACTAGTTCCTAGTGTCAAATCAAAATAGGTTAGGACATGTGCTACGTATGCCTAGTCATCGCCTTCCTCGACGGGCAATGTTAGCTGATATAGGGTCAGGCTGGAAAAGAGCTAGCGGCGGTCAAACCAAAACATGGCACCAATCAATGAAATCCACAACAGTTAATCTAAGCCACGTAGGAAGATGTAGACTTCCTGGTTGGGGCCCTCGGGATGGTAAAAACCAATGGTTGGAAACAATTGGTGACATGGCTCAAAATCGTTCTCAGTGGCGCAGATGCATCCACTCCTTGTGACTTATGATTTCCAATTAAACTTTTGTTCTCCGTTATTACTATTCCTTTGTCTCACACCTCTGTTTACTGTCTATATTATGCATTTCTTCTACTTTCTTCTCTTGCTTTGCGTGCTACGTAGATTGTGGCGACTTGAACTGCCGCACATATGTGCAAAGTTCTATGTCGAAAACCGACCGACCGACCGACCGCATTCTGCTGAGAATCAAACCCAGTCCCCGTCGTTTCAAACGCCAGTGTTAACCACTAAGCCACTTCGGCAGCAAATAACATCACTGTTGATCCTCAGACATCATCGGATAGTCCACATTCAGAGCCGCATGTCGACAGAAGCCAAACATTTCCGTTCAATTAATCAACGGGAAAAACAAGAATTGACTTACACAAAATGGAGAAAACTTATTACGGTTCACATTCTCAACTAATCATCGCAGAACCACCTGACACATTTCATAATATCACTCAAAGACAAACACTGTAAATAGTCCTTAACATAATAAAACAGAAAAATGGCACAATGCGGGACAAGAGAATTAAAATATGTCCTGGATATTGGACTATACAGTATTTGAATGGAGTCATATTACTATTATCCTACCATTATTAATACAAGGAGTTGCATGATTGTATGATGGTTCATGTATATATATATATAAATGTAAGGTAATAAGAATGCGAATAGAGAAGTGATGTTAACAATGTAATCAGAAGTGGTTAAATATTGTGAAATAAAAGGACAGAAACAAAGTATGTGACAACACATTTAAAATAAAAAGATGAGAATACGTTTGCGTCTGTATAATTTATTTTGATCCCAATCACCCACAATCTTTAGTCACGAGTTTTGGTAGTCATTTCGACCACAGCAAGCAAGTTGCACTTTTCCAAACTAATTGGACTAACAGTCATGAATTCATTCATTGGCTGGGTACGGATACGGCCACCCTTGACTCAACAAGCCATGGTAGGTGGTAAGTAGGCGTAACAAATGACAAAACCAATTTAGACGATTGACAGTTAATTTTCTATCAAAGAAAAGAGGTGGTGTGTAGAATAAATGAATGTAATCTTTGCAGACTCAACACTGATGACTAAACACTGCGATAATATAACGGCGCATACTGACATATTCTTGACGCCTAATAGGTATACAGATATTTCACTAAAGAAGTGGATAACGAAAATGAGACGGCCTTCACATTTCACCAATTGATAACAAAGTGACTTTCTAAAGTTGAAATAAGTGTCGGTTCAAACATTTGCGGGAGTGAGGAATTATATTTAGAAGAACCCAACTACCCGGAAAACATATTTAATGTACCCACCTACGAATTACGCATTATGTAGAGGCTTCTGATACTAATCAGTTGCTCAGGTTGCAGTAAGTGAAATGGGATTAGAGCCCGGTGTCCACTGGCTTGAAGGCAAGATCTAAAGCCAATGAGCACCAAGTCCAGTTTCTTAGAAAACAAGGAATATATCGCACACATTCCTAAAGTCTCACAAACCATTGGATAGACAATGTTTTAGCAGTATATTCTTCAGGGGGCGCACTCTGTCTGTTCTTTAAGATATTAAGGTATGGCTGAGACTAACAATTGGAAGTAAGGAAGAAAATCGACTGCCTGGTGCATATTGAAGCAAAGGCTGAGCAAGCATAAAAGTTATCGCCTTCTAGGGAAATGTTGCGAAACAACTACTCGACAGAAATGACAGTAAGTCCCGACATCATGTTGATTAAGCCCTTTGGATGCTCTAGTGTCATAAGCTCTATAGGCTGGAGACTACAGTTGGATTCAGTTCCCGGCGAAGTTAACGTATCACAGCCAAAGTCAAGGTCTGTCAAAAGTGGACATCCAAGAACCAATCAGATTTACGGAAATGTCATTCGAAATCAAATCATGCTTACCGTTTAGAATTTGGCGAGAGTAGATACAGTATTCTACTTATTCCCCAAGTACTTTTTCTGTGAATCTGTACTGCAGGTATGCTACGGTTATGGCTTTTAAGATTACGGTTACAGTTAGGTGTAGGTTAAAGAAGTGTCAGAAACATCAGTGGATTTCAAAGTATCACGATCAACATTCACCTGGATGAAAAAATCTATCACGCATGGTAAGACTTCTCTTTAGGTTGTCCGGTTAGCGACTGGGAGACATCCTTACAACACATAAGCGACAATTATTCAGTGTAATATCGTATTCACAATGTGCATTAATGCATTTTCCACAGATTATGCGACCTGTTTTCATCTGAATTCTGATTGGTTGCCCAAAGTCACCGTAATTTTGGTTATGATAGTTTAACTTCGCCTAGGTTCCACTAAGTGTGCCTGTAGGTCTGAACAATGCTACAATATAATTCCACGCAGAGTAAGAATACCAGCAGACTAAATATTCAGTTGGGAATCCAGTTTCATGGGGCTGGGAATACCTTTTTATAATCTGATATAAATACGGAGTGCAAGGACTGAAAAAGCTAAATAGGGTAATGCGAAATTGATGAGAAAGATATTATGGAGCCCTTGATAGTAAAGACTTCTTATAATATGCATTAGCTGACACATAGAGAGATGCAAGCAATGCATAAAACCGTTTAAAATAAAACATACCTGAGATGGGCGCACAAATATACCAAAATTTTCCTCACATCTAAAGTAGCGTTTCCCCTGAACCGTGCCGTTGTTCTTCCCTTTGGGCTCGTCTAGTATTATACCCACCCATTTTCCTAAGTCCACGATGAGAACAAAAATTTTTTACCTGGTGAGAATTGTGTTATTCCGACAAAAGCAACGGTCCCAAAAACTGATCTCGATGCTATTTTAACACGACAACCAACTTTTACTTTCTCTTCAGCCATACAGCTGTAATAGAACAACACAAACAATTATACAGATCAAGCACGCAGGGTAGAGCGAAGAAGCAGAACACGACTTGAGGAAAAGCACTTTATAATTGACACTGAATTACACCAGCAGCAGTCCAAAAAATACATACATGTTGTGAATTTCTCCCGAAAGAAATCCGAAACGATAATCCAAATTATAGATTTAACCACACGTAGAGTGACGCGTAAAGTGCGAAATACAGGATATTCTGCAATACGGTACTTTATTACATAAAAATAGATATATAATATACAAACCTCAAGATGTGAGGTATCTGTGGCTAAATGGCGTCAAATGCACAACCACTGTGCAGTCAATAAGTAAAAACAGCAATGCTGTGTCAAGATCGATCCACGTGTCGGTTCAAACGGCCCGCGAATGCCAAGCAAAGAATAAACAAATATGAACAAACAACTTTCAATAGGAAAGCATACACTATAGGGTAAGGACAGCAAATAATGTTTAAGGAGAAGAAAAATAAGAACTATACATTGATAGAATGATAATAGAAGAAGTAATTCAACTGCAGTTGTAAGCAAATGTCATTGTTATAAATTAACATATAAAATCCACACTACACACTAATGGCAAGTAGTATAATGTTGAACAAAGGAAAGATTGAGAATGAACAAGTAGGAAAGGAATTAACACCGCCCCCTCAAAACCAGCCTGGTTTTACCTACTCTACCTGCTAGTAAGACACAGAAATGGTACAATTTACTCTCGCCACATCTGCATCCACTATCCAGCTATATATCCTACAAAGTGCTTATCTCTCCTCAATATTTTCTAATAGGCAAACCTTACGCACATCTCGGTTGACTATACCCCTCGGTGTCTTGATATCCACTTTTCTGGTTATCAGTGTTGGCCGTGGTGCTATTTCGCACGTTGTGGGTGCCAATACTATTGACCGTGGGGAATGTGGGCTTACTTATACTGCCATTGTTGTTGTTGGCATGATTTGGGGTCATATTCTTCTCTTTTTTACCAATGGACTTATGGCTAGGAGAGGAAAGGGTCAACTTTCGGGGGATTTTGACTTTTTTTCTTGGATTATTTAGTGACATGTCTAAATCTACGGTGGTAGGTGGTATAGTTTTATTGGCTATTTGATTACAATTTAGCGGCCTTTCGGTTGGTGTCGCTCTCTGAGAAGATAATTCTGTGTGGTTAGAGAGGGGTGGTGCGGTGGATTCTACGGTATCTCTCAAAGGGTTGGGTATAATTGCTGCTTGCAATGTCCTATTGTTTATTCCACAGTTAGACTCAGTGTGATAATTATATACGCGCCTTTCTATGACGGTCTTGTCCACCGCAACCTTTACTAGTTTATAATTTCTGGCTTGCAGTGGGGTGTGTTGGGAGTGGATAAATTTTCTGGCCTCAGCAGGTGTTTCGAACTGAAAACGAATAGGACAACACTTTTCATGTTGACTCTTCTTCAGCCTGTAGCACTTAGTGTTGGAGTTGGGCATTTTCGCCTCACTAAGTAGGATGCGCTGTACCCATTTTAGTGCCTCATTGTCCGGAACGTTGTAGACAATAGCACTTAGTTTAGCATCTAGTCGTTTTGTTACTTCTGTAGTAACAAAGTTAATGAGGTTATCCACCTTAGATATCGATTCACTGTCAAGTTTGTTAAGGTCTACAGTTTTCATGAGAATAGTTAAAGGTGTCAGTTCACAGACCTGCAGTCTGATATCACTGATCTGACCTGATAAATTGGAGATTTTGGTATTGGTATCGGAAATTCCAGGATCTACTGACTTATTGTTTTTTAAGTCCCTTAACTCGGCCTTAAGTTCTCCTATAGACAACTTTAGAAGTTCTATTTCTGAAGATAGTACTGAAACAGAGCTTGAAGGCTGGAGCTTTTCGATAAGCACATAAGGTGTAGGGAGGGTTTCTGTATGAGCAGAGGGTACTGAATTTTTGGGAGTAGTGCTAATACTAGCTGTCAGTGCAGTTTTATCCTCAGTTTCAGCTCGACGCTTACGACATACAAGTGAGTTTTGTGGCTCACTATAACCATTTGTAGGAAGTATGTTGCTTGATGTAGCAATCAACGACTTAAAATTAGTCATCAGTTTTACAGGGGATTGAGTTCGCTGCTTTTTACTTTGGTTAACCATAACTATTTGATATGAGAGTTAATAGTTATAGGTATGGAAGTAGTAGAGGACTTGTGCAAGGATTACAACAAGATAAATTTTATGTAACGAATCACGCAAAAATGTAACGCAAACGTTGGACGTACCGCGATACCAATCTGAGACATCGCCTTGAACACAGTCGGTAGTCAAACCGAACTGCTCCAGAACAAGAGGTAAGTCAGATAAATTAATTCCAACGCACTCAGCTCGACACTTATCTATTGCAGATGAAAGGTTTAAAAACTTGCTGTCATACGTTTCTCCTGGTTCATACCAACTTTTTACAGGACCTCCATTTATGACATATTCAGTAGTTTTCGTGTGAAAATTTCGTTTTCCATAACAATCACGCCGAGACAGTTTACCTGAACCATATCCCGTCAGTTCATGAAGTCCAACTTGTAATTCAAAGGAACTTTCAGCAAGTTCCACGTACATTTGTTTGTCTTCATTACGTAGAAATTCTGGTTTAGGATCCTCGAGACGAACACTAAGTACATTATTCAAAGAAACATTTTTAAATCCATCAACTTGTCGTACATCATCATAGTTAGGAATATTAGTTCTGACAGGAATTCCAGCAGTTGCAGTCACCACATCCAAACTAGTAAAGTCTGGCTGTAAGAAATTAACTTTTTCAAATGTAGAAGGCCATGATAAATTTGTTAACAACCTTTCAGCATTATTTACAAGTCGCTGGAATTTTTTAGACACTGACCTATTTACAACAGCGACAAATGATTCAAACTTTGCACGAACGCCAAAGGGATCACGGTATGACTCGATAAACCCAATATAGTTTACAACAACAGGGTTCTTATCTTTAACCCATAACCTGAAGGCATCTTTGTGAGTGGCTACTGAGCCAGTAGTGAAGCTTTCAGCATACTGATGCCACATTTCTGATTCAATTTGGCTAAGCGAATGTGCTTTAAAATCTTTACAACAATCGACTAGTAACTCCATCAGCTCACTATAGTCACCATATTCAAGCTGCAAAGATGTGTCCGAGGGAAGGGCATCTCTTAACTTCTCACGACGTTGACTCGGAGGGATTTGCAGGTCATGGTAACGTTGGCCTAACTGTCTTTGTTTTTCTTGGATAATAGGAGCGTCGAAATGACTTTCTGCAGCAAGCGTGTCAGCCTGGACTTTGAATGTATCTATACGTTCACAATGAGTAGCTACATCAGATTCAAGCAAGTTGTACCGCTTTTGTACGTTCATCACACCGTTTAGATCACGAACGACATCCTCTGAGGCTATCTGAGCTTCAACATCATTCAACCATAACTCGACATCTTCTGTGTTGCGAGCGAACTGTTGTTGCCTACTTGCTTGATCTAAATCTTTCTTCTTGTCTCCCATGGCATTTACGAGATGAGACCAAGTTTCATCCAACTGTTCAATCTTTACTTTTATTTCTGGCGAGTTGTAGTGGTTTGCATTTAACAAATCCTGACCTGTCTTTTTAATATCTTCAACGCGGGATTGGTTCGCTTGTATTTCTGCCTCAAAACTCTGATGCTTCTGCACCTTTGTTTGCAAATTCGTGGAGTCTTTGTAACTTTCATCAACTGCATTTCATCTGCATCTCTATCGAACATTTGGTAACGGTGGGAATCTTCAAGACGCTGACGGAGGTTCTGAGCTTTCTCCTTTAATGCATTTCGTCTATTTTGAAGACCTTCCTGAATCTCATCAACCTGTGCAGCCGCATAGTGGTTTGATTCTATTAATTTTGCAGCGAATTCATCAAGTTGTCGCATCTTTTCTTCTTGTGCTAGAAGCGACTTTTCGAAGTCTTAATGTTTCCTTATCAGTGCTTCCACAGAATCGAGTGAGTCTCCCACATCTTTTATTTCTAGGAAGGCCTGTTGCTTACCAATCCAAGATTCCGACTGTTCAGCGTCGCGGTAAAAATACAGAAGGCCCATACACTGTTCTAGCTGTTCACGTCTTTCTTCACACAACTGCATCAGGGAGGCTCTCCCTCTTTCAAGGGTGGAAAGTTTAGCAGCTATGTCTCCACTACAGGGATGGCCAACTCTTTGTAATGCCTGACCTTCTTGCATGCATGTATCGAAACTGTCAGCTCGAAAATTTATCTCAGCGGTGTATTCCTTATGTCGCTCTACTTGGGCTTCAGCACCAGCTACATCCTTTGCCAAATCATCCGCCGATATTAACGTCTTCATGTCATTTATCCAGATGCTCAAGTCTCTCCAGTCAGCCAAAAAGCGATGCATCTTGAATGACTCTTCCAGTTTGCCTTCTCCTACCTACAGCCTGACTTTTCAGCTTATCCCATGCAGTGATTAAGGCGTCATACTTGCCTTGTATAGTGTTTTGCGAATCAGGATGCTTCTGTGCAAGCGCCTTAGCATCATCTCCAAGTTGAACAATCTTTTTATCTGGGGCAGTCAAATCCCTTTCTAATGCTTCGTGCTTCCTTTGTAAGGCTTGGACTGAGGCAAGATCACGACCACAGTCCTCAATGGATAAAGGAATGAACTTTTCATTCACCAACGATATAGCTCCATCTATGTCTCTAAAGAAGCGCTGTATCTCATAGGCTTCCAGGAGCTTTTCTTGTCGTTTTCTAGCCAGATCCTTCAGACGTTCTATAGCTTCGCGGACTTGTCTGAACTTTTCTATGACTAGGGCATCCTCAGGAAATTTCTCTTTTAGAAGTTCATCTGCCTTCCGATAGATGTCTTCTGCACGACTTTCTTGATTCTCGAGATCTTTTGTAAACTCATTAAACCCTTTCTGAAGTGTCTCAGCATGTTACAAGTCTTGACCTAAATCCTCTGATGTTACGTAAGTTTCTTTTTCACGTATCCAGAAAAGTATCTCCTCGACTTGGCGTAAAAACTGGACAAATTTAAGCGTTAGGTTAATAAGACGTAATTTTTCTCTGAAAATAGCCATAAGCCTTTCCCACAGGGCATGCAGTTCATCAAGACGGTTTTTGATAATATCTGTTGCGTAGTGTCCCTGACCAATCA